TCAAATAAGCATGTAAAATAACAAGTTTGTGTTCGCATTACCATTGATCTGGTTAGAAAGTACTACTAATTGACGTGAAAGGTTTCTAACTAGTGGTATCCATCAAGAGTAGAAAACGTCTAGTAGGTTTGCTTGTTTTCGTGATTACCAGTAATGATACAAAAGTATGTCACATATTACGATTTGAATGTTGTGACTTTCCTCAACAAATACAAAACCTAGATGACGTATTAAATAAGATAATGCATCTAATCAAAGTAACAGGAAATCATAGAAAAGGGTAAATAAAATAATATAATGCGACAACCTACCTTGGTTATTAATGTCGATCCTTTCCAATTGTAACCATTCAGAGCAGAGATAGCAAAGTCACGATCAGCTGCAGATCTACATAGTAAGTTTAGTAACAATATTTTGCAAGAACTTACTCAAATGAAAGAAATGCAACACTTCCTTTGATTAGTTTAAGCTTGTGAAAATTAACATTCAAAGATTGCAACATCTTTTTCATTTGCTTTAAAATAAATCAAGATGAAGATCATTGCAAAAAAGTATATGAAAATTTTAAGATATGTCATAAAAGCATTCAAAACAATTATCAAACAATAGTCTTAGACAAGTTAGAATGTGGACTTCCAAGTTGGTGTGGCGTGTGCTACTGATAAGGCTTATCAGTAGTATATAAACACACTCATCGACGTAAAAGCATTAGATAGGAGGGAGATAGATTTGACGTCAGAGAAATCAAGTGATGCGGCATTTTGGAGAAACATTGGAGATGTGAAAGGAACACAAATAAACACATTAGAAAGAAAGAAGTAGCACAATACAGATTTGTGCAAATGGGGATTTGTAAAACACTACACAATTTTGCCATATTATTATTGTTTCCTTGGGTTTCTAGCGGAACATAGGGCTTCAACTGCTTCAACGTCTCCACTTGCTTCTATCTTCTGCTGTGCTTTTCATCCGCATAAATGTTAGTCCATACTGTCTCAACTCCTCTTCACACGATCTCCCCCATATCACCCTTGGACGTCCTACTCGCTGCTTCCCTTTCGGGTTCCATTCGAGCAATGGCCTGACTCGTGATGTCACCAACCGGCCTCCTCAGCGAGTGTCTAATCCATCTCCACTTTCTCCTGCATATTTATTGGGCAATTGGTTCTTGTTTCGTTTGTTCCCATAGTTTCTTGTTGGTGATTCTTTTCGGCCTGGCCATCTGATCTTCAGTATAGAGCCAGCGAAGACAGTTGTTGGTTGATAAATTCTGCAACAGGCTGTTGGAAATATTCTTTGTGACCCACCCACCAAGTTTCTGATCCATATAGAAGGACTGACTTGAAGTTTGCATTGAAGATCCATTTCGCCATACAGAGATACCAAATTCTAAATCAACATTCTGTTACCAAGTCTCTGGTCTCCTACAGTTACAATTGGTGTCACCACCTCCAGACAGTGAAGATCCAATGGCCGGCTGCTTTCGAGGAAGGAGACATACGGAGCTTCTTGCGTGACTTTGAGGCCGTCGCTGAGCTGGTGGATGTCAATGACCCGATGGCAAGGGCAGTCGTGTTGGGAACACTGTTGAGAGGTCGAGTAAAGGTGGCACACAACAGTGTAGGGCGGTCAAGCGAGACGGTGGTCTGTGAGGTATTGGTTGGACGATTGGTGGCAGAGTTAGACAGCCCAACGGATAGGCAGTTGGCGATGTAGCAGTACCATAACACGAAAATGGGACCGGACAGAGACCCGCTAGTGTTGGCAGTGATGCTGACGAATCTACTGCGTCGTGCACTCCCCACATTGGACGAAGAGTCGGAGTCGCAGTTATTGATGTCCCAGTTCATCGAAAGTGTCCCAGCCCACATTTCTCATTAACTACAACTGGTTAACGCTGCACAACCCATGGACATCGATGAGCTGGCGAAGATGACCAAGCAGCTGTCGAACACAACGCTGGCAGCAATAGAGTCACCGAAATTGAACGAGTGGGAATAGAAAATCGAAGATTTGCAGAGTAAAGTGACGGTACTACGAATGAGTACCAGGAAAGACCGATGCCTTGAATGTGCCAAGACAGGACACTGGAAGAGATGCTGCCCAGAAAGAAGGAGAACAGAAATTTTCAGACAGTATAATGTGTTTTCTCCCTCTCCTATCAGAATAGAAGTAGTGGGGGCTATTGAAAGGAGTTCCATGTATTTTAAGTTGCGAGTAAATGGCCGAGAAGCAGTAAGTTTAATAGATAGAGGGGTGGCAATCTCACCAATATAATATAGGATCTATGTCAGAGCATCAGACCTTGATCATTGACAGTTCAAACGGTAGGTAAACACGTGTTAAGCATCACGGGCATGTCAAACTGTAGCGTTTTATTGGTGACCGCGAAGTAGCGTTCCCGTTAATTGTTGTGCCTGAGTTACGGGGAACAATACTTGACGCTGATTTTCTGTGTGAGGTTGGTGCGATAATTAACACGAAGGAGAGGCAAGTGATCACGAAGTACGAACTTATCAGCACGTATGAAACAAACGATATAGCAGGGAGTTAAGGTGTTGAAATCACAGAATATGATAGTGTTAGTTAAAGAATACGATCATTTGTTTACTGGAGATGGGGACCCCTAAGGTTACTGTGATAAGATGAGGCATTAAATCCTATTGAGCGGTCAAAAAATGACACCATTCACAACGCGAAGAGTCCCATATCATTTGGAAAGTGAAGTCAAGCGACAAGTGAAAATGTTAATGGATAAACATCTCTTTACACATATATGCTACTGATAAGATTTATCAGTAGCACACGTCACATGAGTTCGTAACTGATGCAGGACACTACAACTAGTGAACTTTACAACGCATAACTAGTGTCTTCTTATTACACACTGGTTAATGTGGTAACCAAAATATTTTTTTCTCGGAGAAAGTTTGACTTTGTAATTCTCTGTTAAGAGATGGAGAATTCATTTTACACAAAAACGACGTTTTTGTTTCAGACCATTACATGACATAATAACGATAATAACTGAAAGTAATCTGGAGTATTGGGTCTCAGTCATATGCATAAATGTGCAAAACTAACAAATTCTTTTAGCCGTGTCATTAATGAGATTCTTTTCCAAGGCAAAATGGGTAACAACAAGTTCAACACAAAAATGATGATAAATGAGCTCGGAGACCGGATAATTTAGTAAAGTTGTATGACTTGATATAGTAATCAGACTGAGTCAGATGAGTCAGACTGTTATAATTATTATTATTAGCGAATCGTAACACTACTGATCAGTTCAAATAAGTAGCAGCTGAACAGATACTGACAACTTTGATAACGAAGCGTAACATTGTATTTGTTGAAAATCATAACTGCAATTTACAAGCGGAAATATTAAACTATCTCCAATTCCGTATATTTAATATTTGTGAAATATTAAACAAAAGATTAGGAAAATATTCCTTGAAAACCTGAAATTTCAATTTGAAAATTGCCACGTAAGTAGTCTAGTGAAACATTCAACTAACTTTTGAATTCTATGTAGCATGGAAGCTATTTAATGTCAATAAATCGTTCAACTTATCGACAATTATTTAACTGTTCATTTTTTCGAATATACGAAAACAGGAAAGTTAATTATAGCTTACTAAAATTTACACTTATTTAGTTTAAGTCAAAACAAATATTAGTTAATGCTTACACCGAAACCTGCATGACGAAGTATATTCTTCACTTGGATCTTGAATGCCTCAGAAGTAAAACCATCTCGTTTAAGATAAGCGTATGGACAGTTTGGATTTAAGCAAGTAGGTACACTACCGTCATTATTGTTTTCACTGGATGGATTTAACTTCAAGATGTTTATACAATCACATGTACATACAGATTCATTTTCACATGGAAATTTATCAACATCAGTTGTCTTGTCTGCCATTTCTGCAAAACCATATAAAAAATAACATGAATAATCATTCTTCACTTAACAGCATTTTCGAAACTTACTGAGCAGCATATTCATGTTAAACACTACATGTTTCTTCAGCTTTACAGTACAACGTACTCTACTTAGAACTACTTGCGAAAACTAATCTAACAAACCTGAAAGCCGAAGTTTCGCATCTAATATTTATTTTCACAAATATATCTGCCCACTGTTATCCATTTATTCGATAACAAATGAAGAACGCGACAAAATACTTTAAATTTTATGTCCTTAAAGCTTCTCAACATAACCAAAAGTTGAAACACTTTTCAATCCAGGTTAATTCCAATTTATTCTCTTCATATCATATTAGGAATTTACAAGAATTTAAGGCATGCGGAATCCATATGCATATGCTTCAAAACAGAGGGTTCATTTCATAGAGTAAACTATTTTACTACCAGAATACTGAGGAAAGATATGCTATACTGATTTTTCGATTATTGACTATAAGGAAGGTGAAATTTTTGTTTTGTGCTCTAAACTACAATTTAAAATAAACAGATGGCAGTTCTCTCTCCGTAGGGAGCTGCTTAATACTCTTTCAGAAGAAATATGAACCTTTCAGAAAAACACCTGAAAGACAAAAGATGTAATGGATACTGTAATAGAGTGAATTTTATGTTGCTTTAAATTGTGGAAGAGGTAATTCAAATATACCGTAGGCATCAGCGGATCATTTAGTAAATAAAAAGTGAATTTCCCAAACATAGACCAACTAACAACTAAAAATGTACCCCGCAAGTCAATCCTGGTGATATTTTATGATGATTACTTGAGGTGCTACAACAGTCTTTACACCTAACTACTGTTGATAACCACAATTAATATATTTTAATACAGACTCAAAGGGCTATTAACGATATGACCATCTATTTTGGACCATCTACACAGAATCATTAAAAAGTGAAATTTATGTACCGTAAAATGTGACATATTATAGATTCATACTGTTATAGGTTAGATGAAAGATCAACAGACAAATTAGAAAAGGAATTATTATATTTGGATAGAAAAGGTACAGCTATGTAGTAAGAAATTGACGTTGTATTTCTCCTAGAAGAACAGAGGCAGCAGACAAAACATTCAAACTATTAGTTCCTTTTGCAGACGGAATAACAGCTCGACATCCTCCAGTGAGATGTGCTAGATGAAAAGCTTCCGGAGAAACACCATGAGCTTCAGAACCTAAAACGATTGCAATACGACAGTCACGTCTATCAGCATTGTAATCAGAAGGGACATAATTTATATTAAAGTGTGGCATAGTCTGTACTGGCAAACGATAGGCATTACTCGTTGATTCAGGAGGAGTGCCAACAGCTTCGGATACAGTAGACCTTTGGGATTTCTCTACATCATCAGGTTGACATACCTGTAAACATTATGCATAAATATAACGAAATTCAAATTAGGTGATGCAAAATGTCTTTTACAAGATAAAAATCTTACTGTCAAACGACTACATAGATTAGATAGTCTTTAAGAAGACTATTAAGATAAGACATTTAGTCATCGTTACGTTTACTTTTTGATGTTTATTTGAAAATTCAAAAATGCTGTACAATTACGATATACAACAGATTCGTTTCGAAAACAAATAACCGTATGCTGGGAGCATGTAAACTGAACATACTTGACGAGATATTTCTCATTTCTATGGTGAACTGAAAATAAACATTTTTCAAGAAAGTGTTTATGCTGAGCTTGTAGATCTCCAGACGATTCATTAGTTTGGGAAAGACTGATATATATGTAAGGCCTTACATATATATCAATATGTAAGGCAACTAAGCCTGCAAAAGAATTACGGAGGGTGATCACAACTACGGAATTAAAAGTAAGAGAAGACAATCCTGCAGGATGTCCAAAAATAAATAAAAGGTTAACTATTACTGAATATTTTTCTATACACATATATCAGCTGATTCAAAACTTGACAGATGATTCGAAACAAGCGGCATAGTCTGCTTTCTTTCGTTAATAGAGAATTTATTTTTTTTAGTTGTATGGATTTCCGTTTAAAGTTGTACTAACAGTTAATTTCTATTTTCATCCCTTGAATATACTCTAATTCAACTCACTTAATTACCTGGGTGTGAACAAAAAATGTCACGAATACGTAAGACAATGCTGCATGCCAAGTAATCCACAACGGGAAACTTACGGAATCCTTCGAAGTGAGGACGGGAGCGAAGCAAGGCGCCTTACTATCGCCAATGATCTTCCTGATTGCAGTAGACTGGATAATGCGACAGACAGCGGGCAATGAGGGAACTGGCATAAAATGGACTCACTTTTACAAAAAACTAGGAGGATCTGGACTTCGCCGATGATATATGTCTGATTTACCACAAACTGGAACATATGCAAGTGAAAAGCAACAAGCTAGCAGAAGAAGTGTCTAGATAAGATAGGACTTCAGGTGAATATAGGAGAAACAGAGGTGATGAAGATTCCTGGCCAACAGCCACAGCAACAACAACAGACAACAATCAGCATAACCGGAAGAAACCTGAAAGAGACAACCTCCTTCACCTACCCGGGAAGCATTGTTTCAACTACAGGCCGGCGGAACTGACGAGGATATTAAAGCCAGAATCGGAAAAGCAAGACAGGCTTTCATTACTCTTAAGTCTGTGTGGAAGTCAACATCACTCATCATCAAAAATAACATCCGGATTTTACACTCCAATGTGAAGTCAGTGCTACTCACTTTACGGATCAGAGACTTGGCCAGCGCGTCATAAAGAGCATCTCAAACAAACTTCAGACCTTCATCAACAGTTGTCTTCTCTCAATACTACAGGATGAGATGGCCAGCTAGAAAAGATCAGCAACAGGGATCTCTGGCAATAAGCGAACCAACACAGCAGGACCGATTGTGAAACAAATAGGCAGGAAGAAATGGAGATGGATTGGCTGGCCATACTCTGAGGAAACCATCAAGTGAGTGACATCACTAGACAAGCCATCGCTCGAGTGGAACCCGAAAGGGAAGCGGCGAGTTGGTTGTAAGTGCAAGGGTGACTTGGAGGAGATCATGTAAAGAGGAGATGAAAGCATGTGGGCAGACTTGGAGTGGGGTGAAAACGTTGACAGAAAACCGAAGGCAATGGAGACGCGCAGCTGAAGCCCTATGTTTCTCTAGGAATTAAAGGATATAATAATAATATAATAATGAACATGATTTATACATTTGCAAAGGTAAACGATGAACAGAGTAAAAATAAAGTAAACTCACAGGTGAATCGGTTTTCCAAGCCGATTCGATTAATCTATCAGTTATACGTGGATCAGGGTCAGCTACGAAAACTGTAACAGGAGAAAATGAACCATCACATATTCCAAAATGACGACTGATATCGGCCCAACTTAGTCCTTGGTAAATAGGTATGCGAAAATGAGCAGACATTCCTCCTCGAATTGCCTTTTCATTCCAAATATTAACACTACCTAAAGGAAATCAAGAAATAACCCATAATGCTCATAATGCGACTGGAATGTATTAAAGATTACAGAAAAGATGTAGAAGAAATCTGGCACTGTAGTAAAACATAATTCAGTAGATATGCTGATATGCTGCATCGTTGTGGTAGACAATTACACACTATCATTTACTGGAAACTGACAAAAAAGCTCGACAAGAACTAATCTCAAAACTATACACATTTGGTAGCTAAGTATAACATTGAGTAGTAGAGGAGAAACCACCGACAAAAATAATTTTGAAAATAAATGCATGAAGCCAGAAAGTAAATCTATAGTTACCCATAAAAAGAAGCAGATTATATATACCTTTCGTCACCAAAATAGAAGTCAAACCAAAGCTTGCACCAGATCGTATTAAACTGCCCATATTGCCAGGGTCGCTAATGCGGTCAAGGATAAGCGATACAGGTAAGTGATATTTCGCCTCCTTTGTGTGACAAACGTTTTCTTGTGGTACTTCAAAGAGAGCTAAAAGTGGAAAATTAAATAGTTCAAACCATAATAAGAAAGTCGAAACTCGTTCTGTTTCATTCAAGTAGACTCCATAAATTATTATATTTAGAAAATTTTATCAAGAAAATGAGCAGCCTATAATAGTTTAATCATATCAACTAAGTGCCCCCGTGGGCGACATGATAGAGCCGAGTGTGTGTAAACTTCGATCTTGCTGCTGAAATGCTCCCATGTGACCACGTGTGCATAGCCTCTGCTAAGTAATTTTTATGCACTGCCTTCAGGTCACACCTGGGATGTTCCTCGCAAAAGGGAAAGGGTATATGAGAAAGTCTGGCACTTATAAAAGGACTGGTGGATGTGCATGCTTACCTACGGGAGCTGTAAAACCTTTATTCAAAATCTATAGTGTACATAGGCTCCAAAATCAGAAACGATCGAATGGTGTATGAACCTATTTTGGTTAACGGAAACAATGAGAACGTAGCTCTTAACACTGTTCCATGGCCTTGTGGATCAAGCTCCGAATTAAAGGCTCGAGGACGGCCCCTTAAGACAACCACTTGCCAAGGTTTGGACATCCGGGCAGTATAGTATCCTAGCCCTCGCACAAACTATGAGATTTTGTGTGGGGCATCCTAGTTTTGATAATAATGAAAAACCAACTAAATATCCTCACTTAAACCACATGTAAGTATACTGTTGAATACTACAAAACTAAGTGTCTGTGTATATTATCAACACAATTAGACTACGTTAAACACGAGACAGATCGATATTCTACTTTTCTGCATATTGCCAAGAGATGTAGTGGTTTCAAATGGTGGTTGCTTTCTTTACCTGTCTCGTGATAACGAAAATTTTCAGCGATACAAATATATGGACAACTTTCTCATTACTATTTCCTCTATAGTCTCCTTCATGAGGCTGAAGTATGCCCTATCCTAAGTATATTTTATAGTTCTGAAAACATACGTAAAAGAAATATACAATCTCAAAGTCTCAGTCATTTACAATAAATCTAAGTGCCAACATGAAATATATACATACATCACTATAAAAAGCTAAGCACAAGAGATAAAAGTAAGCTTTTCAATACTGGCGGATTAGGATTTTAGCACCAACAATTTACACTCACGAACATTTGCTACAGTGTGGTTAAACCTTGAAAGAGTTTAAATAATATCTTGGTGATGCACATTGCTTGAAATGATACTCTTAAGTAATGTCCAATAGCGTAAGATGAACTTGCCATATCCAACCAGAAGGTCTAACTAAGGTTAACGTAAGATATTGATTTCAAACCTTTATAATGCTATAAACAGACAAATGCTTTTTGTAAAAAAAAGTAGTATAGATAATTTTCGTATTACTTTTATAATTAAAAGTTAAACTAACACTGTAACCCACCACAAACGTACCAATCACTCCGGGAGGAGTTTTAAGAGATGACAGCTGCTTCATAACGCGAGGGTCACATAATAGATATTCAACACATGACTTAGATCATTGATCTGTTCGAGAGCAATTCGTGATGAAAAAAATAAAGATGTTGCTTTTCCTCCTGTAGCCAATGCATCAGATATTAATTTGCTTCCTTCGAGAACAATAGCAGGATATTTACGTAGTTCATGTTCAGGAGAACCAACAGGTAAAATCTGTGTGCGGCTAAGAATGAAACTTCTCTATAAAAATAGTTCAGCAATAAAACCACTTTTACTTGATCTTTGAATCATTCTCATTTAACTCAGGATACGAACTTTTTTCTTTTTTAGCAATTATTACATTCGTTTTACAATTAGCATTGATTTCTGCCTTAATCGTCCCACATTTTGCATCACCGACGCCTTTTTATGATGCTTTGGTACTACTATTTCATCTCCATAAAGTACATTACTGATTAAACTCCGAGTACATGATGTTTTTGTGCGTAAAATTAAACAAGAAAAGCTCTTCATCGATATATGATGAGATTGTCGATATTTTCATCCAAGATTACAATGAATAATCACGCTTCACGTAAACTGCAGGTCACCAATATTGACACTTACTATGTAAATGGTTCCAACAATAGGTAGAAATGAGAAGACAAGTTATTATCTTAACAGCATTAATTATTTTGCTGAGTATCACAAAATAAAAAACTGGAATACCTTAAATTTTCTCTCGTGACTCATATTCACTTAAAAAAAATTCGACATACATCCTGGATTTACGAAGCAAATAGTTCAAGTAGACAACTTGTATCTGCACACCACAGCATATAGAAAACTATATGCTCGCACAAAAGCTCAACCATACCCTACTCAGCTCGTGTTCTGTTCGATAAAGAAAGCATTAGGCGTGAAACCTATAACTTATTAAATAGTCAGTAGAACAACTGGATCTCGTCTTTCCAACTCATATCATTCATAGATGCGACGTCTTCTTTCTTTCTTTTCTGTTATGTGCTGCTTTGTTTCTTTCTTCCTTACTAACTCTATTAAAACATTCTTCGTTCTTTCACACTCTGTATATCTCGACCTTTTTGTTACCGCTTACGCTAGTAAATATGCTGGCATCTACTTTTCTAACACCTTCAAACATTCTGTTCACTTTTGACTTTGCTACCGACATGCTAATATGTTGTTGTCAGAACTAACAGAGATTATCCTTAATCTATGTAGAATTTTATTTATTGTTATTGTACTAACTGGATGCAATACGGTGGAGACAGTTTACTGTCTGCATTAACTGAGGTTCTAGGCAGCGTCTGGAAATTAGAGGAAGTCCCGTCGGGTTGGTGTAAGTCACTGATTATCCCGATATACAAGAAGGGAGACAAGTCTTCCTGTGATAATCACAGAGGGATTAGCTTGACTAATATAGTATCTAAAGTCCAAGGCTCAATAATATTGCGTAGAGTAAGTGGTGCTCGGGAGGCACAAACACGAGAAAGCCAGGCAGGCTTTAGACCAGGAAGAGGGTGTATTGATCATATCTTCACCCTCCGACAGATTCTAGAACATAGTCATTCCTACCGGCGTCCAACAGTCATTATATTTCTTGACCTAAAGGCAGCATTCGACTCTGTCGATCGAGAAGTTCTCTGGAGATGCTTGGCTGTAAAGGGAATGCTGAGAAATTATATTACACTGATTAAGGCACTCTACTCGTACTCAAACAGCCAGGTGAGGGCTTACGGCGAGTTGTCATCTGAACTGGTGACGACTAGTGGTGTCCGTCAAGGATGCCCATTATCCCCATTTCTATTCAACTTCATCATAGGTGTACTAATGGACTTAACCCTAAGTGACTTCAGAAACTCAGGGATTGACTTGCTACCAGGGAATAATCTCGTTGACTTACAATATGCAGACGATATAGTTCTTCTAGGCAAGAACGCTGACAAAACCCAGTCTTCTGACACCTTGAGCTGCAATCTACGAATGTTTGGCATGCTATTTGCTCCCGCCAAATTTAAGATGATGTTACAGGACTGGACTACGCTGAGTCCTAGTTTAGACATAGGAAGTGAAGTGGTAGAGCACGTTGACCGCTTCACTTATTTGGGAAGTACCATCAGCCCCAACGGGTTGATCTCTGACGAAATCTCAGCACGGATACAGAGGGCTAGTTTCGCATATGCCAGTTTGCGCCGTCTGTAGCGGGTGTACTACTCATCAGTCCGCTCCGTCCTCCTTTATGGGTGTGACTGAGACATGGCCATTGAGAGTGGAAGACATGAAAAGATTAGCTGTCTTTGATCATAGGTGCCTGCGCTCTCTCTCTCCCGTGTTAAGTGGTATAACAGAGTGAGCAATATTGAGGTTAGGCCTCGGTCGAGTCCTAGGTAAGGAGGGGAAATCAATCGACGAGGCAGTGAAGTTACACCGATTGAGATGGTTAGGACATGTGTTACGTATGCCCAGTCATCGCCTTCCTCGACAGGCAACGTTAACTGACATAAGGTCAGACTGGAAAAGAGCTAGCGGCGGTCAAATCAAAACATGGCACCAGTCAATGAAATCCACAACAGTTAGTTTAAGCCAGTCACGTACGAAGGTGTAGACTTCCTGACTGGTTGGGGTCCTCGGGATGGTAAAAACCAATGAAGGCTGGAGACAGTTGGTGATATGGCTCAAAATCGTTCTCAACTGCTGGCGCATATGCATCCACTCCTGTGACTTATAATTAGCAATGAAACTATATTGTTCTTTGTTATTACTATTCCTTTGTCTCACACCTCTGCTCACTGTCTCTATTATGCATTTCTTGTACTTTCTACTCTTGCTTTGTGTGCTACACGGAGGGAGTGTGGAGACTTGAACTGCCACACATCGGTGCAAAGTTCTCTGTCGAAAACAGACAGACAGACTAATGTCGACAGGATACTGGGGATAAGTTATACGACATTGTTATTTTTAATTACTTGAAGCAGCCAAAGAAGCCGTTGAGTAGGATAATTTATGAGACTTAGCAAGTAAAGAACTAAGTTACTAATCAGAATTCAGACAAGTCACAAGAAAACACAGCCACTTTCCAGTGACGTCAGTAATTGACTGTTTGAAGAGTGAAGAGTATGATAGGAAGTACTTCTAGTCAGGAAGAAAAGTCGAACATGATGAGTCTTATTTGTTCTGGAAGAAACTAAAGTGCACTGACCACTGATAAAACCCCAGTATAGATACAAAACTCTGTTTGGGGCTATCTGACTTGCATTATTTCTAGCTACAGTGTTAAAAGCAGAACATATCTCTAGCTTCTTGACACATACAAACTCAATAATAGGGAGGATAAAATTCACACTTGGATCGGAAAATGAACAAGGAGAATTAGTTATGTTAGATTGTAAGATAAAACTAATAGAAGGTAAACTACACACTAGTGTTTATAAAAAACCAACGAATTCTAATAGATATTTAGACTTTTTTTTACTTCGGCTATCTCCTACGGGAGGATGAGCCGGCTTCATGAACATCTCGAATCATCGCTGCCCAGGTGCGGCGATCTGATGCAAGGTTTTGCGACAGGGTTATCCAATTCTTGTTCCACACACGGAGTCCGTAGACGGTTTGTAGCCCCAGGCACTCCATATCAGCCTTAACTGTACCAAGCCATGTTTTCAGCTGTCCACCCCTGCGACATCGCCAAGATGGAAATGGCGAGGGATTTAGAACTTATTTGACCAGATCGTCATCTGGTCGGCGCAGAACATGGCCAAACCACCGAAGGCGACGTTGTTGGACCAGTACTGGAATTTGGTTGATGTTGTAGAGAGTTCATGAAGTTTCATGGGAATTAAGTACGAGTGATGTCCCCAGCATCGCTCGGCCTTTTGTTTGAGAGTGCAGCTCTAGCCTTTACACAACCAAGTGTGACCTACAAGGCAGTAGGAGTGGAGTAGGGAGTCCACTATCCATTGGCAGCCGGTGACCGGAGTCCGGTTCATTCGCCTTTTTGAATGGGGCCAGACATCCAGGGCATCCAATAAGCCCTGTGTCCATACGTCTGCCGGTGAGCTCCGGTGAGCTTCATACGCCAGTCGTTGGAGGTTTGGAATCAGGGTTTGGCCATCTCCCCTAGACTGTCATCCAATGGACAGTCAACCCAGTGAAGAGCGCCGGGCATCCGCTTTTGCCCTCTCACTTCGGTGAAAAACACCTCCGCCACGTGAAGGCAGTGAGTAGGACTTCCTCAGGAGAGGCTATGTAAGACGCCTGGTCATATGGGAGCATTTCAAGAGGTGTACAGAGGGGTGGCCAACCCGCAGCGCAAGGCACCCACCCCCGACCATACTGAGGCTTTGGAGGCTATTTAGACTTTAAATCGTTTCATCCGTTAACTGTCAAGGCAGGCTTAGTTTTGTCTAACAAACCGAGCAGTAGCACTAAGTAGCACAAGAAAAGACCTAAATGATGAAAAAAACAAATAGAAAAAGCGTTGGTATCAAATAACTATCCAATAAAATTAATTAGGAAGATTAGTAAAGGCCAAAAGCAAAATAAAAATAGTTGTGAAACCAGTAGTGATATTATAAATAAGAGAGAATATAAGTCATCCATTGTTAAACCGTATAAGGAGGGGACATCTGAGACCCTCCCTACGTAGGATTCTTAATAAAGCAGGAATTAGGGTGGCATTCAAACCTAAAAACTCACTCAGGGACAAGCTCTGTAGGTTAAAGGACCCTGTTGACCCACTTAGACAAAATAATATAATTTACAAAATACCCTGCAATAACTGTGAGGCCAATTACATAGGTCAAACTAGTAGTTCGGGGGTAATCGTATTGTTGGAACATAACTTAGCTAAGATAAGAATGGTTGATCCCGGGAAGGTAAATAATTTAGAAAAAAACTCAGCAATTGCACTTCACGCATTAACACACAACCACACAATAGAGTGGGAGAGAGTTAAAATTCTAAAAAGCAATCTAGGTAGGTGGAGAGAGAGGTTGATTACTGTCTGTCTGTCTGTTTTCG